GGGGGGGGGAAATAATGGATCTCAACTAATAAAATTACTTTACTTTGGGATTTTATTGTTTTGGTGAATGCAAAATGAATGTTTTTCAGGTTTGGGATGAATGGTGCTGAGGTTTTGGAGAACGTGGCCTATGCCCGAGCATACAACACTGACCATCAATCAAGGCTTCTGCTTGAAGCTGCATCAATGATGGTGGATACCAGGTAGCACCCATCTTTTCATATTTGCAAATTTAAATTATGCACTGTAATAAGAGCTTTCCTTTGTGTTGTAGTTTTCTTATTTGCAACCATTTGCCTCGGGTGTAAACCAGTTTATAGTTTAGAATCACTGAACTAGTAGAATTTTTTTCTCTAAAAGAATGTACTGGGGCAATCATGCGGTTTTCTTGGGTACAAAATTTATATGGAATATTAAAAATTATATAAATTCTATTTGATACAGAAATAATTCTTTGTTGTTATTACTGAGAACAAGTTTCACTTTCCGCCCTTTGCCATTAGGAAATGTAATTGTTACATTGTCTAAATGTGTCTTTGATGATTTTATCTTTTCTCTTATTCACTTTTCTCCAGAATCTTAACTTCCATGAACACAATGTCCTGTCCTGTATACAGATTTGCTCTTATGGTAGTAGATAGCGCTACAGCCCTTTACCGAACTGATTTCTCCGGAAGGGGTGAATTGTCAGCTAGGCAAATGCATCTCGCCAAGTTCTTGAGGAGCCTTCAGAAATTAGCAGATGAGGTAAAAAAAAAAATAAAAATGTTTTCGCGTTCCGTCTGAATCATAATTTTTTTGCCAGTTCAGCTGTTCTAGAATTTGTAGAATACAGATAATAACTTTTCGCTTCAATTGTACAATATTTATTACACAATTACTAATATTTGGCTTTAGGCTTTCACTCAACTACAAAAAGAAAAGAAATGAAAAACAAATAGCTTGTAAGACTAAAACGACTCATTAAGTTATTTCAAAACCCTTATTGTGATCCATTTTCTTGTTGTGTTGTTACGATCTAAACCGACGTGATTAATGTTTGTAGTTTGGTGTGGCCGTTGTCATAACAAACCAAGTTGTTGCTCAAGTGGATGGCTCTGCAATTTTTGCCGGGCCTCAAATCAAACCCATTGGAGGCAACATTATGGCACATGCTACCACAACTAGGTAATCTTGTCAACTTTTTTTGCTGAATCTTGCGCATAAGAAAGTTGGAGCTGTTCTAAAAATAGATTCGGAAAATTTGAAACTGTTCGTCTGTTTTCACTAAAAGTGTTTGTTTTATTTATGCTCGACAGGCTAGCCTTGCGGAAAGGAAGGGGCGAAGAGCGAATATGCAAAGTCGTGAGCTCGCCATGCTTGCCTGAAGCCGAGGCAAGATTTCAGATCACTGCCGATGGTGTAACGGATGCTAAGGAGTGATTAACAATTACCATTTTTCTGTTTTTGAAAAAGTACTTTTAGAAACCCATTTCAATGTACTTTTTTTCTGTATCAATTGCTCCATTGTAAAACAAACAGGAAAAAATGTCTTTCCTGGTTTTGCTTTGCTTTGATCTCTGTATAATGACTTGAGACTCATTGCTCTGAAATTTGTTTGTAAAGCAGCAATTGTTTTCAATGGTATTACTCATTAGAAAAATAGTACAATATTAATAGTAGAATTAGTTATATGTATCTTTCATAATAGTATATGTTGTTAGGGTGTGTTTGGTTTGAAACATGGAACTTGTGATAGTCCATTTGAAAATATAAACAATAGTAAAATCATAGCATAATCATGGAAAAAAAAATTAAAAAAAAAAAAGGAAATATAAACATTATTAAAAACTTCTTCATTAACATTGTTCGTGGTTTTTTCTATCATCAGAATTTCTGTTACCACACATCATTACCTTCAAACCCTTCTGACTTGTAATTCTGGAAAACGTCATGTACAAGTGCCCATGACTAAATACAGAGCTCTTCACTAGTAGGCCGACGTGCGACAAAAACTGTCCGTCACTCCTATATAGAGATATATAAATTTAAATAAATAGCTTATATTGTGTTCAACAAATAAAGAAATAAAATATATATATATATATATATATATATATATATACCATTTTCTAAAGTTTTCACCATGCGCATTTGGAAGATAACCACACAAAGTTCGGAAGGGTTATATCCATTGTAGGCCTCGAGGAGATTGTCAACATATCTTTCCCAAAATATGTATGTAACTTGATTGCCTTTATGTAATTTTATCAATAAAAATTAAAAATCAATTAAACAAACAATTATATTCTAAAAACTATTATAATGTTTGAATAAAAAAATTTCAACTTACTCCAAGTCCTCGAGTAACACCTCGACAAATCTTTTCTCAATTCCTTTGGGGATACTAGTTTGCACATTTTGATATATCACATTTCATCCACTGATGTCTTCAAAAAAGATAAAACCAAACAATCTCTATAATAATAATGGTATAAATAGCAAAAGCAAAATCACTACTTAAAATTAAAAAAATAAAAAATAAATAAAAAAAATTGATAATACCTACAAGGGCTCGTTTACTAGCAAGGAGTGGATTAGACAAAATAGTCCCTCCAACTTACCATACTTTGCCACGGCCAGTTTTTGTCCTTAGTTTACTAACCTTGATACAGTTTTTCCTTAATCAAATCATTTATTTACTACACATGATTAAACATAATGCATTATAATTTCAAATACAATTTTGGCCTTAGATCATTTTTGTACCCTCCATCATTCTTGTTCTCAAATCTGTGCTTTCACCCAAATCACATTCGCACCCAAAACCGAGAACCCTAAATTCGGTGACAAAATTTTGAAATTGGCGAAACAAAATTGACGAAACCCACCTCCCCTACGACCTTTGCTTATCGATTTCAGAGGAGGGTGCGGGATTTCGGAAGTGAAGGTGTAGCTGTGTGCGGGGCAAAGGGAACGTCAATTGTACGCGGTAAAGTTCGAATTCCATCTGTAATTTTTTTTTTTCGTTTTATGTTACAGATTCTTGTAATAGAGGGCGTCATTCTTTATTTGTTCATGCCCTTTGTTTGTTCCTTCTTTATTCTTCGGCCGTGATGTTAATTATGGTCCTTTGGTTGACGGTGTGGAGAGTCTGTTCTGTGCAAATTATTAGAAACGTGAGGTGATTAGGTCAATGCAAGTTCGTGTTGTGTACAACATTCAAGAAAAAAAAGGCTTGCTTGCTCAGTTGTTTGAGTCTATCATGCTCATTAAGTGTAATTTTCTTAATAATATGCATATTTTATAAGGCTTGTTCATTGGGTACCAATTACATACTATCATATGTATATTGTATTATAGCAGACCCTTGAATATCACAAACTGGTGTGTTTTTCATTAGTTTGTATTTTGGTTGATGTTTGAGAATTGAAAGAAAAAGAACCATCATGAAGTGCTTTATATTGAGGTCTTGTTGTGCCATGATTTGAGCACTAAATTGAACATGATTTGTGTTGTTGTATGCTGGTGTAAGTGCTTTACTTTCAGATTTAATTAAGTTGCTAAGCCTTGTTAAGTGCCTTTTTATGTGTTGTTTATGTGCTTACTTTTCAGAGTATTGTTCTGCTTTGTGGCCTTAGGCTTTTCTCTTTCTTTATTTCTTTTTGTAGTGTTATGCTTTTCAATTATTAGATTTAGACAGTGGTTATATGAATGCCAGGTTCCATTACCTAAGTTTCAGTTTTGAAAAGTTGAATTGCATAGTTTTAAATTTTGAGAAAGAGAAAGCATGTTGCATGTTGCTTTAGCCCTGTCTTGCCTTGTGTATAGCTGAGATTTTTAGTGTTACTTTTGTGCTGAAATTATGATTGATTTCATGCTGAGATTGAGCTTAAGTTTTCAGTTTCGAATAGTGAATTTCATGTTTAAGTTTTACCAAGTTTGAAGAGAAAAAGAAAGCGAAGCATGTTGCTTAATTTTATGAAGTTGATGAGCTTGTTAAGTGCCTTTTTATGTATTGTTTATGTGCTTAATTTTCAGTATTATTAGGTATGTGTATCATCAATTGCTCCATCTCTACTTGAGGAAACAGGTCTCCCCGAGGTGTATCATCAAAATTGACCTCCGCAAAGCGTTTGGCATTTCTTAGTAAGCAAGTGCTCAATGGACTCGGCTTCTTCCCGGTCTTTAGAGGTGGGTAATGGAGTGTGTTACCACTCTGTCCTACTCTCTATCTATTAACGGGAGCCTCAAAGGCCACTTCAAATGAGCCCGAGGTTTAAGGCAAGGTGACCCCCTATCATCTTTCCTTTTTGTGATTTGTATGGAGTACCTCATTCGGCATAATAAGAGCAACACGGCGGTCGGCACGAACTTCAATAACCATCTGATGTGTGAGAATTTAAAAATCTCGCACTTTGCCTTCGCCGATGACCTCATGCTTCTCTCTCGTGGAGACCCTCTGTCAATTAACATTCTCATGGATTGTCTTAAAGACTTTGGAGCTAAGTCGGGGCTTGAGATGAATGTGCGTAAGTCCAATATTTACTTGGCCGAGGTCAAGGACAATATTCGGGCTACAATCCTTGATGATACCAACTTGCGATGTGGCTCAATGCCCTTTCGGTATCTCGGTGTCCCTCTCTCCGCGGACCGAATCACTGGAAGGCTCTTTGATGATTTGACTGAGAAAATCGAGGGGCAACTTAGTAGGTGAAATGGGCACACACTCTCCTATGACGGGATATTGGAACTCCTTCGCTCGACAATACAAGGCATTGTGTGTTTTTGGATGGGAATCTTCCACTTGCCCGGTATAGTTCGAACAAAAATCACCCAACTATGTAGAAGGTTCCTTTGGGGTTCGGAGAGTGCTCCCGTGGCATGGGAAAGCCTATATTTTCCACAGTTGGAAGGTGGTTTGTGGCTTAGAGACTTGAATACGTGGAACCAAGCGTTGCTCACCCGGACGCTTCTGAACATGCAAGCTAAGAAAGACACCTTGTGGCACAAATGGATCCACAATATCTACTTAAAAGGGAGCTCCATTTGGGATTGGCAAATCAAATCGAGTGACTCGCTTCTTTTCAAAGCCCTCTTTGAGATTCGGAAAGTCTTGGTGGAAAAGGCGGGGAGTGAGCGTGGTGCGGAAACCCTTCTTCAAGGGTGGAAAACTCGGGATGGTCAAGACGGTTCTAGCAAATGCTTTGACTTCTTAATGCCTATTGGATCTAAGGTGTCGTGGAATGGGGTCGTTTGGGGCTCGTGCAATACCCCGAAACACTCCTTCATCCTTTGGTTGGGGGTGTTAAATCGACTCCGGACAAAAGATCGGCTCGATTCCTCGACGTAGATCCAATATGCCCTCTTTGCGGAGTTGTGAATGAATCATCGAGCCACTTATTCTTTGAATGTATCTTTAACTCGGAGATTTGGGGGGCTATCCGTTCTTGGGTTAACCTCCGGCATCGGCCGTCCACCCAAAAAGGTGCTCTCAAATGGACCAAGAAGGAGGCGAGAGGAAGTGGTTGGCAAACCAAGTTGAAGAAAGCGGCGGTAGCGGCTACCGTATACTTCATCTAGAATGCTAGAAATCGGTTGGTGTTTGAGAACGAATACCAAGCCCCGATTCTCGTAATCCGCAAGGTAAAAACACATGTTTATCGAACTATTTTTGCAACTTATCCAAATGTGCTTGTTGAATTTGAGAGGCGGAGTCTTAGGCTTTGAGAGTCATTTCAGCGCCCTTGCTTGCATGCGTCCACCGGCGTGAGGCCACCGAGCCGTCCATGTTGCCGAGGTCCCTTGGGACCCTGTGCCTTATTTTTTCGTGATTTTGGAGAGAACAACTGATATGTGGTTTGCCTCGCTTTTCTTTTATTGCGAATGAGGAGCCGATTTGTGGTTGTCCATTTTGCTTTTGTTCGCCGGCTTTTGGTTGTCCGAACTCATTTTTTATCTATATATTTACATTTACCGATAAAAAAAAAGTGTACTCATATATCTTTTTTTTGCCGGAACGATAGAAATATTATATAAACAAAGCATCCACCAGCTGAATACAAACAGCCAACGGCTGAATACAACCACCGGCCAGCAGAAAAGTGAGAGGACAAGTCAAAGACCGCCAAAAATTGACCCCAATAGGGTAATACTAAAAAACACTAAAATACACAAAAAAATAACACAAAGACCCCCACAGGGCAATACCCGAGTGACGAACCCCAACAGGGTAATAAAGGTGAAACTCGGGCTCACAGAGGCCAACGGCCCAAACCTAAAATACAAATACAACACAAACACATATACGAACAAACACATAACAAAAACAACACACAAAATAAAATAAAGGGCAACCCTTCTCCAGCAAACGAGCAGGCCCAACCAGCAGTGAGCAATCGACACAAGAAAGAGTTCCAGCCTGAGAAACCACTACCGAAACTGCGCAACCTCCTATACAGTAGGCGAAACCGAGCCCCGAACCATTCCCCTAATCCACCCACCTCCAACCGAGATAAAATCGACCAACCAACCCCCACCCGACCTCCCAAACCCTTCTAACACCACTAGCCGAGCTCAAAAGAGTCAGGTTCCCGGACCGCCTCCGCCTAACACCACTAGCTGAAACAGGGGAGAGGGTAGGTGGTAGTTCAACAACCCCGACCGCCACGAACGACGACGTCGCAGCAGAATGCCAGAGAAAAGAGGAGTTTACCATCTCTAATCGAGGGGACGTCAGTGTCCAGGATGAAGCCACCCGTCGCCGACAGGACTCCAACCACGGGGACGGCATCTCAATCCTCCAAATCTCCGTCGCTTGAAGGCCGACGCAGCAGAATCGCGGCAGGTTTCGGGGCTCACGACGACCAAGGCGGGACGAGCGGTCGCCCCTGGCCAGGCCCCGCCGTCACCGAAGAAGGCTTATCAGCAGCGAAAAAAAGAGGAGCGACGGGTAGGGTTGAGTTTCTGAGAAATTGCGAGAGAAGAGGAATTTTAGACTGATTTCCCTTAAAAACGTACTCATATCTATGAACTATAAATCATAAGATTTACATATTATGTTTGCGTTGAAGTATGAAGCACCAACAAATAAAATTGTTTAACTTTTCTTTAGACCTTGGAGAGGTAGAGATAGAGCAATCATGACCTGACAAGCATAACAAAGGCACTTGTGAGCCACAAAATGTCTCGTGCCTTGCTCGTTTTGTACCTTTTTGCCACGAAGGCCTCCTTCTAGTAACTTATACGTTTGGTCGAGTGGGCTCCCTACCAAAATAACATAAGTATCATTGGTCTAACTAATACCAACAAAGATGCTGGCACAAAATGGTGATGCCTTTAATGATGCTGCAAATTATATATTGACATATGAACTTCAAGGACCAAGGAGATGCATCATCATCTCTATGCTCATACTTAATAATAAAAGTATAAAACTAATTTCAAGCCTGTGATAAAAGCTATTTGTGTAATACAATCAAACATAAGAGCATCGTAAACGTCAATTGCATGCGGAAAAATAGAAAAAATAGCCGATTATTGCTGAGAAAACACAAATATATCCACATTGCTAAAAAAAATCAATTTTTCAACGCACGCGCACCGCGCCAGCGACGCGAAGAACGTCGCCGCCTTGCTCGTGCCCACCCACCGAGCCTGTACGTCTACTTTCACGTAGTACGTCGTCATCCCGATGAGGTTATCCATGGTCGCCATTTTAACTTTTCATTTTCCCCCTTTCTTCAAGGAGAGAGGATTGTTGAGTGGTGATGGTTATGATGATGAGGTTCGATCGGTAAATAATTCAACTTATAAGGGCGTTTATGTCATTTGTCATGGCATTATGGGGACACAAATGTAATTTTAATCTTGGAAGTTGTGGGATAAAAAATATACCAGCTCCAGGCCGGGATGGAAATTATCGGCCTTTACGGGATTAGCACGTGGGCCCAATCTCATTTACCATCAAGGCAAATAAACACATGATAAAGTTGGATATCTGGGTTTATTATATCTCGTCACCTTCAGTAAATGAGGCCTGGTAGGAAGATATACGACTTCAAGGGACATAATTACGTGTAATCAGGCACATAATCACGTATAATCACAACTTTGTACATATAGGGACGGACCATAAAGCTTCTTATCCCATCTCATTTCACATATAACAAATTAGGCCTAAGAAGATCAATCAAGCACAAGGTACTTTTTGTAATAATCCCTCTCATTTTGAAAAACGAAATAATTGAAAAGAAGCCATCAAAGGAAATAAAAAACAAACAAAAACTCTGAATGTATTCGAAAATAAGTTATTAGGGAAAATGTTGTCGTTGAAAACCAGGAAGTCATCTCTAATAGTGACAACCTGATTCTCTCAACAAAACATTCAAAATTTATTATTAACATCAAGTTCATCGACACGTCTATGTATCGATACTCGGCTACCGCCTTCTGCTCCTGTTAAGATGTAAATTGTAACGTGTCGATTAACTCAGAGTTTTGGCTCTTGTTGCATATATGACCAAAGTTGCTAAATTTATGAGAGATCATTTTCTTTTGTAAGTTTCACCGATCTATGGATGGAATAGAAACGGCCTCCCACAAGAGTAACAAAAAGTGCATTGACACCTGCAATAAATATATCGATCGAATGAGGATGGACAAAATTAGCATGGCGTTCACAATAAGTTCTATCAAGCAAAACCGTAAAGTAACCAGAAACATATTGACACTTTAAAAGCAAACAATATGAGTGTAAACAACTGCCATAGTTTGAAAATACCAGGTTCAAAACAGAGATTGCAGCCTCTTGTTACCGTGTTACGGAACATGTAACTACAACATAGGTTAAGTTCTAATGATCAGAAATAGTAAGTTGCTATATACATATAAGGTCGAGTTCCATGATCATAAATGACGATAAGTTACTACACAATAGTGTTACTAAACATCCACATGAATATTAACAAAATTGCGAAAAAAGTATGGACAATTGTATCATTATCGTCACTTGACAGTAAAAAAAAAAAAAAGAACACTGAACATATCAGGTATTCATTTTCACTCACAGGACATGTAGTAGTCATTCTATATGCACACACATAATACATGCAAGCCATTAAACACCAAACACTTCACATCCACATAATTCAAATACCAATCAAATGCTGAAAATCAATAAGCAAAGCTCGGAAAAGTTCGAGAATAAATCAAACCTGCAATTAACATAAGAGCAACCTCCGTTAACTTTCTCGACGTAAATACTGCAACGTGGACACCTCGTCCATTTCTTGCTCTTAGCAAGACTCATCAGCAATAGATCCTCACGACTCCTCTCCCCCTCCTTCACCCACTTGAACTCGTCGCAAGTGAGGCCGAAGTGCCAAGGCAGCATACACTTTGCGCAAAAATCCCTTTTACAATAAGAGCACACAGATGCAACAGCAGCAACATTCACTTTATTTTTGCCCTTTTCCTCACAAAACAAGAGAGCCGAGCAATCTTTAAACGGGCAATAGAATTTCTCTGTATCCAAGATAGCGGCCTCACACAATGCGTACCCCCACTGGTCAAAAACCTGCTCGGGCAATATCGACTGGCAGTGTTGAGGCTCGAGCAAGCCAATGCAACCGGGAACAGGGCATTTAATGGAGACAATGTTGTCCTCCAGCTTTGAGACCACGTATCTTATCACGCAGTTGGCACAGTACGAGTGATGGCAGCCCGAAATGCCAAAACTTTCTTCGTTAGGTTTTTCGTCGGCACAGATTTCGCAAATGAACGTCGAGTAGGGGACCGGTTTGGTGGCATCCTCTGGCTTTGGACGCAAGCACAAGCCTCTGAGGAAAACCTTGCCTCTGAGGAAAACCTTTTTTCAGGAATTTGAGGAAAGAGGGAAGAACTTTAACCTCGCCGTCGTCGGAATAAAGGCAAAGGGATAAACCGATCTTTTCCTTTTCGGATTTAGGGTGGCAATCTTCGATTGCGATGGCGTCGGGCTTGGTGGCGACCGCCGGAATTTTGACGGTTTTCGAGGCTTTCGGCTCTATTCAGCTGCAGGAACCCATGACATCATGTCATGGATACCTCACTCTTAACCAGTAAGCCAAGAGGTCATTGGCTTAAGAATATGTTTGGTTCAACGCGTGAGGAAGGACAGGAATGTTTTGTTGGAGGATTTTTATAAGAAAAATGTTACAAGTACATAATATCGTAGATAAGAGTGTATATAACACTCACATTGAGTCGGACCCACCAAAAATAAAGGGAGGAAAAATAAAGTAAAATTAAACACTTCTTGGTGAAAAAAAAACAAATAAATAGAGAAATAAATAAAATAAAATAAAAATATGGATAGAATAATAATTCTATTGGGCTTGATCGACTACACTAGTATAGAGCCCGTGCATTCCACGGTGGGCTTATTCTTCGAAACCTATTTTTATTTTTTGTTTTGCAAAAATTGATCACTTAGTTATGGCAATAAGATAAATAATAGGTATGTAAACTCATATATTATTAAGCACTTCCCTATACAAACATTCTTGGTTTGATTTTCTGCCAAACCTTTCTCTCCACAAATTAAAATTTTTAAACGGTTAATAACACGAGTGACAACAGCATATAATTGTTCATGACTAAAAACTGGTTTCTTAAAAATAAGCCAACATGCGATAAAGATTGGTCTTTGCTCTTGTTTATGGTCATTGCGTAGGAAACCATAATGGGGAACTGCCTTCGTTAGAATTTAAATGGTATTCTAACATCAGAAGAAATTATTGTCATCCGAAGTATCAACACCTTATCATATGCATGGTCGTCAGTAAGATTTTTACACTCAAAACATGATTGGAGAGTTTAGTCACAACCAAACGTGTTCCATTGCACAGTCCCAACGAATGTTCCATGTTCGGCAACAACATTACCGGAGTTCCTTCAAATGCAACTCGTGGTTCTGTGTTCCAGAAAACTTGATAGTATTCAAGAACTCAGGCGTATGGAGTTATGCTAGAAAGTCGGCATTGGAGTTGGATTTACACGTACTGTCAGAGCTTAAATAAATACTACTTTCAGTCAAATTCAACGACGACATGTATGCATAGATAGATTCTACCATCTCCAGCATCGGCGCAAGTATAGCCATTTCCTTCAAGTAACAATCGGATCATCGATTGCATTCTTGAACATTGGATACGTGCTTTCAATAGTTTTTTCAATTGGATCATCATATGGTTTTAGTAAAAGATCACCTAGTATGTCTATCGTAGCACAATCACCATTTGACCCCCCCTATAGTTCCATCTCCAATGCTCACTATCCAATCAGCAAACCTATACATACATTTAACAATGAAATAAATGTAAAATTTGTTGATTTGCATAGATAGTATACTTACAAATAATAATTTGTAATAGTTAAAGTTAAAAAAATCAAACCTTCTTGCCATGAAACACTATTTCCAAGTAGTTCGGTAGGAGGCATTGGAACTTCGCTCCAAAATGCAAACGACCCGAAGTTTCATCATTAGTCTCTTACTCCTCTTTATTAAGGCCCCATATCTGATCCATTTTGAAAGCTTGATCTGGAGAGAATCGGAAATGTTTGAAATGAAATTTGTGTAGGATGTAGTGGGCAATTTGAGATAGACAATCTATTATTATAATCATAATGTGAGTTATTAATATCTATGATATTATTGAAATACACGTATAAGTGTTTTGTTTTCACAAATCCCTACATGATAAGACATTTATTTCAATAATTATTAAATAACTAATCTATATCTACAATAATGCTCCCCTACTTCCCGGTGGATACATGTTAATATGTCCACCGAGCATGCACACATTGGTGATGTTAATATGTTAAAAAAAAATACATCACCAATATATGCATGCCACATAAGCGATGGGCATATTAACATGTATCCACCGTGGATAGGTGAGCATTATTGCCTATATCTATATGATAGATGGGGTTTAATAAAACTAATTATTTTGGCATTATCGGAAATAAGAGCATGGTGTTAGTTAAGTAGCTAGAAAATTGTGGACACGTTTAAAATGCTTGGGCTACTGACAAATTTATCATCTTAATATTATTGTATAATTTATGTATTTAACGATTTAATTAAATTGTAATCTTGCTATTTAGTGTTTAAAAAAACAAATTGTTGTTATTTAATGTAAAATTTAAAAGAATTTTGGGCTACTTGTACAAAATAAATGTATTTGCCTTTTTTCTTTTTCTAATTGTACGCTTACGGAACCTAAAAGAAAAAAAAAAAAAAAAAAATAACTTGGTAATTAAATTGAATTGTTGTTATTTAGGGTTACAAAAAAGGGCACATCGGTTAATTTATGCTTTCTAAGATTGGAAAACCATGTACATTGGTATTTTATTGTAAATTTTAAGACTTTTGAAGATTGTTTTTTAAAAAAAAATAATTTTAAGAGTCAGTAACATAACAAAATGATTGATATGTTTTTTAATTGACAAAATACTGATTATCGATATTAAAATGATAATATCCCAAATTTTATAAAATACTTCCTTCCTTTATATGGTACCGCGAGTCATGTTGACAGAAACTTAAATATATTCGAAAAGAAGTTATCAGGGAAGATGTTAAAAAAAACAAGGAAGTCTTCTCTAATAGTGACGACATGATTCTCTCAACAAAAACATTCAAAATTCATTATTAACATCAAGTCGTCGGCAATCAATTCTACATATCTACTCGGCATACCGCCTTCTGCTCCTGTTAAATTGTGAGTTGTTATGAGACAACTAACTCGAGTTCCGGCGCTTTTTGCATGTATGACCAATAAATGGTAAATCCACAGATCCACAATAGTAACAAAGAGTGCATCGACACCTACAGTAAATATATTGATCGAATGAGGATGGACACAATTAGCATGGAGTTCAAAATAAGTTCTATCAAGTACAACCGTAAAGTAATTAGCATGGAGTTCAAAATAAGTTCTATCAAGTACAACCGTAAAGTAACTAGAAACATACTGACACTTTAAACAATATGGGAGTGAACAACTGTCATAGTTTGAAAATACCAGGTTCGAAACAGAGATTGCAGCCTCCTGTTACCGTATAACGAACCATGTAACTACAACATAGGTTAATTTGGTTGAATTCCATTAGACGGTAATTGTTCAAGACTCAAGACTCGAACGCAAATTCTTATATTTCTCAATCTTAGCTCTCATTGTTCAACATGTGAACACAAATTCAACCTATACAACAACAACAATGCACATACAAGCACACACGCGCATATAAGGTTGAAGTCTAGCGTTCACAAATAATAAGTTACTATATGGATATAAGGTTGAGTTCCATGATCAGAAATGATAGATATAAGTTACTACACGATAGTGTTACCAAACATCCAGATGAATGTTAACGAAATTGCGAATAAAGTATGGAAAATTTTGTCATTATCATGCACTTGAACACTGAACATATTCGGAAGGAAAAAAAAAAAGAGCACTGAACATATCTCATGATAATGTTCATCTTCACTTACAGGTAGTAGTAATTCTATATGCACACACATAATACGTGCAAGCCATTAAACACCAAACACTTCACATCCACATAATTAAAATGCCAATCAAATGCTGAAAATCAAATAAGCACAGCTCGGAAAAGTTCGAGAATAAATCAAACCTGCAAGTGACAAGAGAGCAACCATTAACTTTCTCGATGTAAATGCTGCAACGAGGACACCTCGTCCATTTCTTGTTCTTAGCAAGAGTCATCAGCAATAGATCCTCACGACTCCTCTCCCCCTCCTTCACCCGCTTGAACTCGTCGCAAGTGAGGCCGAAGTGCCAAGGCAGCCTACACTTTGCGCAAAAATCCCTTTTACAACCCTCCTTCACCCGCTTGAACTCGTCGCAAGTGAGGTCGAAGTGCCAAGGCAGCCTACACTTTGCGCAAAAATCCCTTTTACAATAAGAGCACACAGATGCAGCAGCAGCAGCAGCAGCATTCACTTCATTTTTGCCCTTCCTCTCACAAAACAAGAGGGACGAGCAATCTTCAAACGGGCAATAGAATTTCTCCGTACCCCACCAGTAAAAGATCTGCTCTGGCAATATCGACCGGCAGTGTTGAGGCTCCAGCAAGCCATTGCAACCGACAACAGGGCAATTAATGGAGAAAATGTTGTCCTCTAGCTTTGTGACCACGTATCTTATCACGCAGTCGGCACAGTACGAGTGATGGCAGCCCGAAATGCGAAAACTTTCTCCATTAGGTTTTTCGTAGGCACAGATTTCGCATATGAACGTCGAGCAGGGGACCGGCTTGGTGTCATCCTCTGGCTCTGGACGCGGGCACTCGCCTCTGCGGAAAACCTTTTTCAGGAATTTGAGGAAAGAGGGAAGAACTTTAACCTCGCCGTCGCCGGAATAAGAGCTTCGGGATAAACCGATATTATTCTTTTTGAGTTCAGGGCGGAAATCTTCGATTGGGGTGGCGTCGGGCTTGCTGGCGGCGACGGCCGCCGGAATTTTGACGGTTTTCGAAGCTTTAGGCGCCATTTGCAAGGTCGCGACGACTGATTCGCCACTTGATTTTCTTCGGGGAAAGTGATGTGGCGAGATTTTATAGGGGGTCTCCATTTTGATAGAGTTGTTCGTCAGTGGATTTTGGGATTTGGTACGGTGTATCTGCAATTATCCATTGCAGAGTTCTGCGGCTGCGGGAGATTATTTCTCCAATCCAAATCCCTCAAACCAAACACTACAAGACTATGTTTTGGTTTAAAGCGTGAGGAGGAAGGAGAGGGAAAGTTTTGTTGGAGAAGTTTTTTT